AGGCACTCTCACAGTAAGGTTGGCTCATAATCCTTAAATCTTCTCTTCCAACAGGTTGGAATAGAAGCTAACATGAGATTCCTGATTTTCTCTGCATTCGAAACATCTTTCGCATGCCTTTCAGGAGTTAACCCCACTATGAGTCTGCTTTCAATGGGAATGTATAACCGAGCTTCGAGCTTGTGGCTCTTAAGAACACTTCTTAGCTCATTTTCCCATTCCTTGAAATTTCTGAGATTTAGCCTTGTTTTCAATTTGGTTGGCAAGTTAGTGTTGTCGTTAAAGCTATTCATCTACAAACAAAATCAAAACGAGGAAAAGTTCAATAATTATGTTTAATAAAATTAAAGTACCATAAGCGAATTAAATAGGTTACTTTAAAACACTTTATTCAATATTAATTGATCACAATTGAATTAAGTGATGCCAAGATCCTTTATTTGTGTAATAGTTGATCGGACTGAGGCCCTACCATCAGGCATTACATTTTCAAGGTGAGTAAACTCTTTACTGATTACAACTCTTGTAACTCTTGGTTGAATAATTACCCACCACATGTTTAATTATTACCCTTTGCTTCAAGGTTCTAAACGCTTTAAGTAACCTTGTTGAGCGTAACCAACTAAATATGTAGAACGTAATCTACCCCAAATTACCTAAGATAACAAATGACACCCTGCGGAGGTAGACCCACCACTCACGATCGAAGGGTTGTTACGTATCTAATTGGAAAAACAATCTCAATATTACCGGGACCTAGATTTATTATGTTGAGATTATTTAGTGAACTCTAGCGCATCATCACAAGCATCAATAAAATCTAACATGCATAATATACTAATGCATAAATAAAACAATGGCATAGTATGGCCCCTTAATCCTAAGAAAACTAATAAAGCAAAAACTCCCACTTGAACCTTCATGGATCTCATCCATCTTGCTCCTTTGGGCCTTTACTCCATTGGCTTCTTGGATCAACTGCAACCTATAATACTATTCTATTCTACCTACTACTTAAATAAAATAAAATAAATTACAAAAATACTTTATCGGTACGCAGACCGTACTTAGATTACAAAAATACATCACGATGTGCAGATCGTATTTAGAATCTATGGGCCATCCTAGTCTATATATAGCAAAAAATAACATCATATATTATAAAATTCCATATAATAAATCACTCATCATACTTTCCTAAACTACAACATCGAATGTTCACAATTAAGGAAGCATGGCACCTAAATATCTCATATTTTAATTACTGCAATTAGATAATATCATATATTAGTCATGAAAATATCATATATTTTAATTTAAGTATGAGACAAAATCAAATCATATTTTAATCAGGAAAGATAAATCATATTTACTCTCCTTGATTATCCTAACTAATTTAGGAGATTCTATCCTAATTACTTAGCCAATCACAAAATTTTAAATCAATTATTTCCTAAAATAATTATTGAATAATCTCATTACTTAAATCAATTATTATCCATATAGAATCTTTTGCTCAAAATATCTTTAAAGCTTATCAAAAATAACAACTTTAATTTTAACAATTATCCTTTCAAAATAAAAATCTAATTTTTAAATTTGACTTTTAAAATAAACTAAATTTTTTTTTTTGAAATTGCGTCAGCCACCGTGATGTGGCCAGCCACAGTGGTCGTACACCATGAGGTGTACGTTGCAAGGCAGCGATGCGCAACAACAACAGCAGTGGCACGCAACTATTGTGGTGCTGTTGTTGCTGCCTTGCCTGACCAGAGCTGCTGCCCGCCCCCACCCCTCCCTCTTGGACCACCACTGGCGGCAGCCACGGCTACCGACCAAAAATAGCCTCAAAAATTCCCTTTTTTTTAAAAAAATTTAATTTAATTAAAAACAACCCTTTGTAAAAATAAATTAAAGTGGTCCAATTAATTTTAAAATCAAATCACATTCAATCTTAAAATTAGGGTTCTTCATGAAATTAATTCCCAATTCAATTTAACATTTAAATTAAATATTTTGATCATGAAAAATTCATAATTTATACATGAAAACAAGTAAATTAAATTCATGAAACACATAACAATCGAAATTATTCAAAAACCAAAACACAAAAATCAAAATCTAAGGTTAGGGTTTTCGGATTTTCGAAAATAGGGTAGGGGGGTCGAAATTTTCGAACCTTTTAGGGGAAAATTTTGGTCCAAATCTAGGCTAATTTCGAGCAAATTAAACAACTTTTAATGATTCCATATGTTAAATCTCTTTTAAAATAATAATTGACCCATAATTAAATTATTTTCCCTCTTAATTGAATTAAAATTGTGGACTACAAAGAAATAAATTCAATATGTGTACAAGCATAGGCTAACTAATACCACTATAGGACTATGAATGCACTAAGCGGAATTACATGAATCATATTCATAAGCATCTAACAACCAAGATTAATGCATAACACATAAAGAATATAGAATTATACTTTAAAGCGTGAATCCACGTGTGATCGAGCAAGAACAATAGGAGATCAAGAACCCCAAGTGTGATTCCTCTACTTAGTCCACGAGCACAAATTGAACCTCCACTAATGCTAGTTAGTTGTGATTGAACCCTTCAATCAACCTTCTACGGAGAAGAGAGACACGAACTAACCACGAACCACCACGACAAACACCACATGCCACCAAGGAGGGGTGGCCGTGCGGTTTGGTGAAGGGGAGGAGAGGGCGTGCATGAGGAGAGAGAGAGAGTTTAGGGTTTTGGGAATTGGTTGCCTTGTTGCACAATTCACTGACAATTAAATGTCTTGTGTCTTGTCTACTTTCAACCCTAGGCATGGACTTTATTTATAGATCATATCTAGAAATAAGAGTCCATGTCAAGCCCAATTCCTAACTCTATTCTAACTACTCTAGCCCAAACCCTTTTATGGTTTGTCATAGCCTCATGAGGCCCATTAATGGGCCTCACACTTGTTCAATCCAATACTCTTGTGTGTGACCTCATAGGATCCATTCTATTGGGCTTTGGACTATTTGACTAGCACAAAGATCATTTACCATATCTAGCAACAGACAATGACGACCCAAAAGAATGAACTAATTATCTCCATAACAGCGATCCTTGATATATCTAGTAATTGCACTTGACGGAGACATAACTCCTTCAAGGTGCGTTTTTAGTTTTTACTCTCTTTTGTTGTTGATCTGTGGTTATTCTAGTATATTCATTCAAAAAATTGGTTAATTTTACATCTACTTGAACAGTAGAGGAATAATGTGGGCGCTTTTGGTTTAATTAACTTTGATTTAGATCTGAAGTTATTCATCTTTTTACGAGCCGAGCAATCGAGCTAGCAGAATTGAGCTACACGAGTTACGAGCCGAGTCGAGCACGAGTCGAGCTACATTGAAACTAAACGATCACGAGTCGAGCAACAAGTTAACGAGCTTAGCGAGTAACGAGTTGAGTTCGAGCACGAGGCATGGTTTTCAATCACGAATCGAGCACCCTTAGCTCGCGATCGACTCGCTCGATTAGCACCCCTAGTTTCAAGGTGAGTGCTAAGATGGATATTGTGCGGGATAACATACGGGGACTGAAAGAAGTTACTAATGCAGTCAAATTAAATTATATGAAAAACTAGTGAATGAAGGAGTAATTGTGTCACCACAATGCCAGGAGATGACTATGAAGACATGATGATGTGTAGATGGCGCTTTAGCTCTTTTCATGCCACTAATGAGTGTTTTTCTTTCAAGGGATTCCCGAATAAGAAAATCAGAACAAATGCGATAAGGATTTTAGAGCAGGAGTATTAAGCGATGAACCTTGCTGAATATAACCCCGAAGGAAAGAAAGATAAGGCCAAGACATCATAAACTGACCATAAAATTCGGAAATCAAGCGATGAAACTTGCTAAATATAACCCTAAAATTTTAAAATTTGACTTTTCTTGACTTTGACCCATTAACTAAGTAAAATAAACCTTATAAATACGTTAAAGGCTTTGGGTCAGGCGATTGTACCAACTAAAGGTGGGTGGGTTACTTTAAATAAATAAATAAATGATAAAAAAAAATTAAAAAAAAAAAAAAAAAAAAAAGCCAAATGAAGAAGAAGCTGCATAAATTAGAACAAATGAGAGTGCTTCGTTTATATAATGACAGAGGTGGGTGGGTTACTTTAAATATAAGAGGGAAATTAGGAGGAAAGAAATGAGGGAGTTAAAATTGGTTAAAATAACAGTCATTAACCTATTACTCTGTACTAACGTTTAATTAACGGAATGCTTATTGTAGTTAATTAGTTGAAAGTATAGGTGTATCGCTAATGATTAAAACTTAAGCAATGATAATTTCCCAAAAAATAAAGGAAAATTTGATAATTACCATCTACTATAGTTCACATATTAGTAATTACCACCAACAATTTTTTTATTTTTTTTTATTTTTTTTCTTTTTATTTTACCACCAACAGTTTTCTAAAAATCAAAATTTACCACCTCTTTGGCCAATTATCTTGCATGATGTCACTTTGGGCCCCACCCCTTTTCCCTATTTTTTCTCCTCCTCCTTACAATATTCCCTTCTTTATTCATTACTCCATCTCAAATTTGGGTAAAAACTAAAGTTGAAATGAGAAAACAAAAATTAGGGTTTTAAAAATCATTCTCCTGACTTCAGTACTTGAATGCAATTGAGGAAAAAAGGTATGTATTGTTGTTTCATACTTTCGGAAACTTAAATTGGGGGTTTTGAATCAAATTGGGGATTAATTTATAGTGAGGCATTCGGGATAATTAACTCAAAATCTTGAAATTCACGTTATAATTAACAATATTATGGTTGTTATTAAAGAGGGATCCATAGAAAAGGAAAAAGGGAGGGAAATTGAATGAAATGACGTCATGCAAGGATGTTTGGACAAATAAGTGGTAAAACTTAAGGTTTTGAAAAATTGTTGGTAGAAAAAATAAATAAAAAATTATTGCCGGTAATTATTAAAACATGAAGTACGGTGGGTGGTAATTATCAAATTTTTTTTAACAAAAAAAAACGGAGTAAATTAAAAGCGGAGTAAAGCAAAGCAAATCCGTGCTTGGAGAGTATTAACGAACACGACCACGAACACGAAGAGAGACGCATGAGAACAACAATGGCGGACAGCAGGAGGTTTCAATTCAAACTATCAACATGTCTTCTCCTCCTCCTCCCCCTTCTCCTTCTCACCATTCATACACGATGCAGAGCTGATGTTATTACCCTAACTGAAGATATTTTCTCCGACAAGGTACCAATTTTTATTCCTAATTTTCTCGATCGATTCTTCTATTTAAATTGAATTTTCTTTTTTTTTTTTAATACAATTTTTTCCCAATAATTATCGTATTTTTGTCAATTATTAGCTTATTAGAATGATTAATGTTTTTTTTAGTATAGTTGAGATCCAGGTTATTGTGATTTATTCATTATAAGGCAGTTGCTATTGATTTTTTTCTTAATTCTGATTAGGAATTGTGTTTTTTGGCGAAATTATCGGCAATGGTAGAAATTGGTGAATGTTAAACTAGATTTGTGATCCACATACTTTGATCAATGGTTAATCTTTTAGTAAAATTATATATTGTGTTGTTGACTTCAAGTATCAGGAGTAATAGGTTAAAGGTGTGTGCATTCATCCTTAATAAATCATTAGACGTAGTCGATCGATGGACTGCCTGAAACTATTGATTTTATTGGAATTAGAGATTAGTATCGAACATTCGTGGTTAGTGTGATGAAGCAAACATATAGCCATGAGATAAGCAACCTATATTTTGCTTATTTAGGGTTTAACATTTTTATTAATCCTGCTTACAGGCGGTATTATTGAAATCTACATTCAGAGGAATCTTAGTTTACAAATAATTTGGCAATAAAATGAGGGTAGCAATTATTGCGGTACCTGGTTTAACAATGAAGGAAAGTTTTGCCAGGTGAGAATCCCGAAGGATTACTTATCCACTCATTGGGATGACTAGCCTTACAATCTTCCGTAAGTAAACGCCTAGAATCGCTATCATCATAAGCTCCTTGATTATCATTCATCATGGGCTGCCATCATTAAATGCAGATGCCAAGAAGTACCAACACAAGCACAGCCACGATAGCATCATGAAAATTAGAATGGAAAAAAGTAGAGACAGTTTGAGAAATAAATTACTAAAGGCATGCAAGCATTGTGGCTGTAGGCCTGTAGTTTGATGGGCATGTCAACTGTTATGGCACAGTCCTTATTATGATGCTGCACCGCCAAAGGGGCACCAGTTGTTCCAACATTTTTCCTACATAAGCTACATTCTAGGACACCAGCTTTTCTATCCCTTGGTGTTCCTTTACTTTTGGCCTGGTACACTAGAGTTCTTTTTGCCGAAAGATCCCTTCTAGCATTATATACCACTGACCACAAGAATTCAATCATCAATTTCTACCTTAAGCTATGTTTTTTTCCAAGTTTAAAGTAATTTTTCGGGTTTGATAAGTTCAAATTAGTTTAAATAATTTATGAAAGGCTCTAGTAAGTAGTAAACTTATACTAGGGATATTATGTTCTTTTTGCAACCATATATATGCTCAGGTTAGGGCTAATAGGATTAGTTTAGATAACACAAAGTTTTGACATTTGAAGTGAAACGAGCACTCCCTTAAATGTAACAATTACAGGTTTTGTAAAATAGAGGGCACAGAGATGATTGCTAGACAAATTAGACTATAACAATTTAATCTTGCCATCTGGGGAGTAGTCTCTTCTTTCTTCAATACCCATGCAATTATCAAATCCCAAAAAGTCTTGATCCTGAATTGCTTCTCTATGGCCGCCCTAAATAAGCTACTAGATTCTAGATACCATTGAATTTGACACCTTAGCCATGATTAGGATTAATTCATCCTAAACTACACTCGGAAAAATTAGCCTCATACCAAACACTTAAGTTTGAATTCGCTAATCTGTAAGAACCTAATTGATTAGTTGAGTGTATTTGAGGGCAGCTAGCGAGCCATTAACAGAAACCACAAATTTTCTAATCCCTAATTTGGAAGAATTAGCTTGAGTAGTAGAGTTCATTTCATCGGCAATTAGAGAGCCATTAATAGAATCCATAGCTTCTTCCCTCTCTGCCTTAAGCCTCTCAACCACCCCCCCCCTCCCCCGCACAATTATCTCAAGCAATTTATAAAGAACATTAACCAATAAAGTAAAGAGAAAAGATGATGAAATTTTTTTTTTTTTTAAATTCTCATGATGAAAACAGATACTCCTAGTGAAGCCCATAATTTAATAGTAGAAATTAAAGCATTAGAAACTACACCTTATCCAGCATTTCAGCATCTCCATTTCCCACCAAACCCTTTCTTTCAAGCAACACCATTAGAAAAGATAAACTCTTCTTACTCCTTTATCTTCCTTAAATTCTGACTTTAACTTCTTTTGGATATAAGGAAACTATCACTTTCATCTCATAAGGCCCCTATGTTTTTAACTTATAATTATGACCACCAATTCTGTGAAATTGAAAGAATAATATACATAATAACATGGAATTAACAATATGAAAATAATTATAAACATGTTTTTTTTATGGCATTCTTTATCAGTATATTTTAAGTGAAATTTGACAGTGGAAATTGTTTCTTTATCTTTGAATTATGTAAATTCCATGTCCAATTCTGAGATCCATGCCTATGTGACCTTCTTTTTCAAGTCATAGCATCGCAGATAAACAAAAATGAATATGAATTGATATACTTAGGGAATTGAAACAATTTGGTGTGCTAGGGGCCTACTGCTGGATTATAATCTTACTCTTGAAACGGAAATTATCTATCTAGAAGTCAAGAGTATGCAAGTTTGGACGCTCTTACCTCTTGCTGATGGAGAAAAGAAGTCCTCAAACCCATCCTTCCACTTAACAGTGAAAACGGATCCCAAGGGAGACCTATTAATCACCCTGTAAACAACATAGGCAGCATTGCAGCAAATTAACTCTGATACTTGATTAATTGCAGCTGTGCAGTGCAGTTATTCAATGCTGAAGCTGTAAATTTGCCTATGTTGTGTCTGCAATGTACTAAATGATATATTTTGAATTCTTAATTGATACTTCCAAAGAAACGAATCATAAATTATTGCCTTTCTACCTCTGAACTTATATGTATAAGTCGTGTTCTGCTCCCCTTCCCTCTAAAATGATGTTCTAAACCCTTACATTCAGCATATGTCCAATTTAGGAGAGCTGATTGATTTACTATCGTCTAACTTTTATTTACAATAGACTAAAGTTCTTTATAAGCTGACAACTATGTCTCTGGTGTATTCATTGCACAATTGAATTTTGTATAGATAAAGGAGAAGGATACTGCTTGGTTCGTGAAATTCTGTGTTCCATGGTGTAAGCACTGGTAAGAAATTATCACTACTTTAGAATTTATAGCTGGGGTAGTAGTGAATAATGAACTATAAATTATAAAATTTTATTTATTTTTATTTATTTTGTATTGGCTTCTATTAATTCTAATACTGGGTAACTTCAGTAAGAATTTGGGATCATTGTGGGAAGACTTGGGGAAGGCCATGGAAGGGGAAGATGAGATTGAAGTTGGACAAGTTGACTGCAGTACTAGTAAACCCGTTTGTTCCGAAGTTGATATTCATTCATATCCAACATTCAAGCTCTTCTACAATGGTGAAGAAGTTGCAAAATATCAGGGTAATTATTCCGGTCATCTGAATGATATATCTGTTTTTATATGGAACTGTATATGCTTCATTGATATGGCTTGGCTAATCCTTTTACGTCGGATCAACATTCATATTTCCTGCTTGTTTTTATATGGAACTGTATATGCTTCATTGCTATGGCTTGGCTAATCCTTTTACGTCGGATCAACATTCATATTTCCTGCTTAATGGAAAACCAAATACAATGTTGTTAGATGATTAACTCTTATTATGCCTGATTTTCTTAGTTGACTTTTTACTAATTTTTTAGATATAAACCAGTTAAAAAGGACTCCCAGTGAATAATATCTCCCTTTGTGGCCTGAAATGAAATTTAAGTACCAATTACTAAGAAAGTGCAGCCTTAGGCCTTGGATTATATGACAAGCTCAAACTTTCTTACCTTCATACACCATATATTTAGATTACTCATAACAGCCACTAGTCTTGGAGACCCTTTTTGTTATTTTGAGTCTCGAATGCCAAGACCCAACTGATCTAACTTTAGCCCACCAGAAAAGCTATTTAATCCAAACTGAGGCTGCTAATTAACATTTGAAGAGTAGGTGATTAAATCCTCATGAACTCGTGTTCTACCCGGAAAATGCCCAGGATGGACTTGCATCCCCACTTAATAAGCTCATCTTAGTGCACTGCCCTTTAGCCAGTCAGAGCGTAATTCTTTGCTTGCAAATTTCTGCACACTAGTGTTTTATTTTAACCTTTTTGTTTACCAAAGAATCTTATAGCAAGTTCTTATGGAGGACTCATTTTTTGTAAGGATGGAAACCAATCTCCTTGAAAACCCTAACAGCGTTAAGTATTTACTGGAGCCAAAAATCTCTGTCCATCCAACTACGTTTTCGAAGATGCTTACTGGATTAATTTCTGTGAAAATTATGCTTATAGCCTCTTTGCCATATTTGTCCTTTTTGCATCATAGCCTGAAGAAGTGTAAGGATAGCAGCCTGTTTATAAGAAGTTTAAAGTCTGAACCCCTATAGAGTCTACTCTGTGCCACAACATTCTTTCATCGTTGACAATCAAACACTCCAAGAACAGAAGGGTCCTATTAGTAGCTTCAATCAACTTGAGGATTTCTAAAGTAAAGGAAGAAAGATTTATGGACTTTGGACACCTGCGATGCAAGACAGAACATGTTTAATAAATGAGATTCACCTAGCATTGGATAGCATCCTTGCAGAGGTAGGATGGCATTCTACGGGACTGCCATAAGACTATTGTTGCTCTATGCTACATAATGTTGGGCTTCCAAGAAGGAGCACATTAAAAAGATGGAGGTTACGGAAATGCGTATGTGAAGATGGATGTGCAGGAACATTCTAAGAGATAGAATCATAAATGAGGTTATTCGCAAGAAAGTGGGGGTGGCAGGCAGGCATAATAGACAAACTAAGGGAAAATTGCCTACGTTGGTTTGGGCATGTTAGACGGAGACCCAAGGGTACACCAGTATAAAGAGTGGGACTATGGAAGGGTTAAACGAGGGAGAAGGAGACCGAAAATGACTTGGTTGGAAGGAGTTAGGAAGGATATGAAGTATATGGATTTGCATGAGCATGAGGCATTTGATTGTAAGCCCTCATTTGATTGTGGATGACTATATGGAATAATCATTTTTGTTCATGTAACCGACCCCACTTATGGGATTAAGGCTTTGATTGATTGATTGAATCTGATCAAAGTTGGTATTGAAGTGATAACTCAGGTGGGCAATCGGATTATCTGAGAGTGTGTACTTAGGTTCAGGTATAAGTTTTCTACCCAAACCTAAATTATGATGTAGAGAGGCCAAACTCAAGTTGTTCATGACACATAGCTCTTCTCTATAAACAATTTTTTACCCCAAGGCCTAGTGATAGAACAAGGTTTTTTTTTCTTTTATTTTTTTGTGGGGGGGAGGAGGGGGGGGGGAGGGATAAATTTATTCTATTAACACTGCTTGCTTGTGTGTGCTGTGTGCGGACAGGTTTTGTTTACTAAAGTAAAGATCAAGAATCTAAGAAAACAGCATGTCAGACAAGCTTTATACTACCCAAGTACCAGGAGAGGAATGAAAGTGAGGTCGAGGATTCTACTGTATTGCACGACCCTCAATCCCAATACTCCTATTTAGAAATTTCTATCATACAAGCAGAGAACTAAATATATGAACCTCATAAAGCCTACCTTCCCTTATCTCTCCCATATGTAACTTTATTGATCTGCAAGTACACCAAAACACAATTTGGACGGACTCACTGAACATATATGATTGGTAGCAAACTAATTCCAAACATCCCGGCCAATAACTGTGCAAAAAGAGTTGATATTTTTGGTTATTTGCTCATCCATGAGAGATAGGGAAAGGAATATAGAAATAAAAATGAAAGGAAAGAACTAAAACATACTTTCCAAACTTAAGCATCTCTTAATATATTGAAAATTTAGTTGCACATTACGGCATTCATCAATGAGTTTGGTTTCTCATAAAGGACTACAATATTGGTATCTAAAAAAAAAAACTCAATGCGAGCTTTTACACTGGGATGGTGGAAGATACGTAGGGAATCGTCTAGCATGTGTAGAAGCTTGAATTTCCTTGTTAATGACCAGAAGTTACTGTTTGACTATATTAACTAAATTCTTGTACATCTGTCAAACAAAGGTATGTGTCCAGTTGTCATGCTTGATAGTGTTAATTTTCTACATAAGGATCTTCTCTAGTTATTATTCCAAATCCCATCATCATATTAAAAGTTGAGAACACCTAAACTAGCAATCAAGTGGAAGGCCAAACCCACCCTCCACCCCTACCCCTTATTTTTTCCCCATCATCCAGGTACTATGACCTTTCTATTCCTAGGGTTGGGTTTATTTATAACCATGTCAATGAGTTGAGGAATCTACCATAGTGGAGGTGAAGAATTTGTGTTGTGCTCATCATTCTCGTATCTCGTTAAAATATGGTTTTGTACTTCTGCTGTACTGAATTCAATATTCTTGATTTTGTTTTTCTGTTTGCATTGTGGCCTTATAAATTAGTGGCCACTAGTAATGTGTTCATGAAAAACATTTCTCTAAAAAGACATTCAAAACATGAAATTTGGAAAATCTTGCTATTTTAGAATATGTATTTTTAAATAGTGCTTTCCAAGTATTTTTGTGTAGTAATTACTTAATTAAAAGGTTTGTAATAATTGTAGTTGATAAGATTTTGATTTTCTGATGCTTTATTTCTCCCTTTGGTCTTGTCATTATTTTAGGGAAACGAGATGTAGAATCACTCAAAGCATTTGTTTTGGAAGAAACAGAGAAAGCAGCAGCAAAAGCAGAAGATGACATTGACAGAGAATTATAACATATATAGGTATGCAGAAGACTAATTAACTTATTTTATTTACTATACGAACTTCGTAGTCCCTATATTTCCTTTTTATTATAAACTTGTCCAAATCTTATTTTTTACTAAACTTATACATGAGCTTATTAACTCTTTAACTGAACTTCTTTATCTTAAAATGTGGAAGTAGGGTGAACAAAAAAGGGCCCTTAGCACATGTAGTATCCAGTTATATTTGTATAGTTTATGAAATCATTTACGTGTTTATGTATCTCATTGCAGGATTTCACAGAAGCTCGCATAGCATGTTAGCATCAGAATCAATGTGCAAAATGTGGTAAGCAAAGAATTTGGAAACCGGTCATATGATTGATCCCAGGGCTGTATGGCTGCTGCCCCCGTAGTGATCATGAGTAATTTTTTGATATTGAATTTACATTGGCGTTCATCAGCCCATGTACTCTATTAACTTTGAGATTTCTGCTAGCGATGCAGTCTTTATTTCACCATAACACAGTGGATGGGTCGATATGAAAAGAAGATGCATGTAACATTAGATAAACGAACCTTGTACTGACTATTGCAGCGTCTGGTGTGCTGGAAACTTACTATTTATGAGCTGAATTTTCTTTTTCCATTGTTATCACTGTTATGGATGCAAATTTTTCAATGTAATTGATGAAAGTTTTCTATAGGCATTGTTCTCTGTAAGCAAGTCGCCTGAAAGGTAACTGCAATATTATACTTCGTATTAGTTATATAGATGTATCATTGAAACACTAGTACAATTGTTACCCGTAAATTAAATCATGAAGTCCCCACTGCTTTTTCGGAGAAATTAATTATAATTTTAGTGGGTACAAATTAATTATAATTTTAGTGGGTACATTGAGCTATTCTTTTAGCTCATCTCCATCATTTTCTATAAAAACAATTGATATCAAGCAAGGAATGGATGTGCCTAAAGATAGGTACACTCAAGTGCATAATTTAACCGGTGTTTATATGTCGGCAATATACTCCAGATAAATAACCATCAAACCTATCATGTTCATCGACTTCTTCCTGCTGACGTCAAATGCCTGACGTAAAAAACTGTGAAGATAAAAACAATGTAGTTCACGTTTCTTTAATAAATAACCCAAGCCATAAAAAAAAAGGAGATAAAAGTCTAAGGTGGCGTAGAAGGTAATAATGCAACTCCCGCAATTATTGATTGTTATCCCACTTGGCTAGCTGCATAAAAACAAACCTTGAAGAATCATTGTGCACAATAAGAAAGTCATGAAAACATAGACTAAAAATGTACCAAAAATCATTTTGTTTAGTATTTTAAACATCAGTGAAGAAGAAATGAAAGGTTTACTTCGCAGGAGAGATGATGCCTAATTTGAAGCCATAGTAAGTTCAACTTTGGTATCATTTCTCTTGCATAGTGAACCTTTCATCTTCTTCTACGAAAATGGTGCTTCGATAATGATCGATCGTGGAAGCTTAATTTGAAACCCGAAACAGGTAAACTCAAAGCTTATGCTTGAAACTAGATATGCATTAAAAATTTCATTTTCATTACTTGTGTTTATGAGCTATATCTGAAGCACCTAGTTACTAGTTAATGTTGGAGTTTTTGGTTCTAACTCTCAATTGTATACTTAAAATTAAGATTAATCTCTTATAGCTACTATGTCATAACTTTGGGGTGTAAACTGTGGGATAAATTTTGTGATGGTTAAATCTGTAAATTTGACAGTTTGATTTAATTACCATGTTTTACTTCCCAATTTAAGCCTACTTGACTTCTTCAGTTCTTCTTATTGATTGTCACTTAATAGTAATTGACTAATTGTCACATTTTATACTCCATTCTCATCATCTTATTTTAGTTTAATGAAATTATTTTTGCTGAATTGTAATTTTTTTTACTAGACTTGAATTATCTTTAATAAACTGAAAGTATTGTTACTAATTAAAAATTATTTTTACTAATTTTTCATTATATATATTTTTTTAAAAGACTAATTTTTCATTATATTTTTTCTTTAAAGTTACATATTTTTACTGAACTGAAATTGTTTTTATTAAATATTATTATTGTATTCTTCAACAAAAAAAATTTAAAAAAAAAAAAAGAATATTATTGTTGTAAAATGAATAGAATATGGCCTAAATGCCATGCCATCTTTTGTTGTAGGCCCTATTCTCTTAACCTTATACTAGCTCTCTATGCAAGTGTGGATTTTATTTATTTGTAAAATTGTATGATCTATATTGTAGATTGTCAAATGGACTTTTTTTTCTTTGTGAAAATACGCTAACCATGGGTTAAAAGTAATTGATAAATATAAATCATGTAAATGTTTAAATGATCAAGAGTAATTTTTTTGTGCGATTTTCCATCAAAACAACATTTAACAATTAAGACTTAATGACATTTTTTTATTATTAACTACTTTAAAAGAGTGCTTTCCCACAATAATGTTCCAACTATTAGCAATTCCATAAATATAGCTACACTTTTACAATTTTCCAATCTACTGTTCACATCATTATGTAGTATAATTTTTAAATTTTTTTTAATAATTTGACACAAAACCGCTACTTGAATTGGCGGTTTTCAATTATGCAAAAACCGCCAGCTCAAGTGGCGGTTTTCAATTTATATGAAAAAAAATAAAATTAATTACAAAGTAATTTTTAGGAAATGAGTACAGGAAGACTAAAACTGTAATCCATCTTCATTCCCATATAAAAATTCTAAGGTAATGAACCAGATGAAAAAATGAAATTGAGGCAAAATTACTTATACTCCTCCAAATCAAACACAAAAAATGAAAAACAAAATCAAATCTTAATATGATTAGTGAAAAAAAATCAAAGTAATCTGATTTTAGAGAGAGAAGGGGATGAACATGAGAGAGAACAGAGAAGTTGTTCGACCAGTCGGTGTTAGATCTTAGCTTCTCAGTGCTAAAATCCGACAACCTCGCCTCACCAAGGTGTTAGACCACCTCCATCCACCGCCTTACTCGCTGGAACTTCGTCCCACCACCAATTTCAGTGTTTCGTACCTCCACATTTTCAATGGGATGTTTTTACTCCATGAAGCTTTAATTATCCATGCCCAAAAAATCCACCCATAAACTTGATTTAATTTGAAGATGATGTGGAAATTGAAAATAAAATTTGAAGATTGAATGAGAGTAGTTTGAGTAGGGATAATGGCAATGGTTCTCCTTAGTTCTAACGACATAATTAGAGAAAGAAAAAGAAGGAAGTCAGAGAGTATGAAAAGCTTTAAAAAAAAAAAAAATTTAAATACTAGGTGGGAAACCGCTATTTCAAGTGAAAACCGCTATTCCCCTAAAAACCGCTACTTGAGATAGCGGTTTCATAAAAAATAATTAAATTAAATTGTTGATGTGGACAATAAATTGGGAATATTTTAAAAAGTAGCTGTATTTTTGGAATTGTAAATTTTCCCAACAATATTAAGGGAAAGTACTCGTTTTAAAAAGGCCAAAAAAATTACTTGTATGAGATATGCATGACGAAATTTCATCCTTAATTAGCGCCCTATTATATTATAAGTTACAAATTAGTTTTTTCTTATATGTAAGTTTTTTTTTTAATAGTACATAATTCGATTTTTCACTGTGAACATATATGATTTGAAATTAATATGCTCCTTATCAGTTTGTTGCACATTTTTCTTTCGTGAATTCGACATGCTCTTTAGCACTCGTATCAAATTTTAAGATCTTAACTAGTATTTGGGTCCAAGTGATGCTCCGGGTCATTACATAGGCTTGATCATTAATATACGTTTAATTTATGATTCAATTTTCTTGTAATTAAATTTGTTATTCATATTGTTGTTCTCTAGATATTAATATTTTGTGTTAAAAAGATAACATAAAATATCACATAACTTGGTGGTAAGATACTTAATTTTAGAATTAGAGGTTGCATGTTCAAATCTTGTGGAGAACTTTTTATTACAAGTGTATGACATGCAATGAGAAGCAAATGGATGGGAGAGCCCGACGTTTTTCGAAACGCCTTTTAATATATTAGTATAGATTTGTTAAAAATAAAATTAAGATATCAATTATTTGATTTTACTCTATCTGTTTTCCAAAATAAAACTCCACTTTGTGTCACCGAATTTCATTTAATAAATCTCTTATTCTCTATCTCTCTCCTCCTAATACCCATATGCATGGTCCTTATTTTTACATTTCCTTGATTTACGTAACTACAATAGATAACTGAACACTCAGCAAAATGGAGGGAGTATATGAATTGTAATTTTAAAGATTTTTTACTTTTACCACCAAAAAAAAAACACAAAATTGTTTTTTACCACCAAAACTTTTAAAAGTTTTATTTTACCACCAAAAATATTCTAAAAATTATTTTTTACCACCTAGCGTCAAGAAAACCATTAAATCTAACGGTTTAAAAAAAATTCTTCGATTTTCGTGTGCAAAACATATTCTTCACAGATTTCGGGGGGCATTTTGGCCCTATGGATCCAATTTGAGGTCAGAATCAACAAACATGATTGAAATGCCTCGTTTTGCATGTTTCATGCAAATCTAGGTATTTTTTAGTAGGAAAAACAAACCATTTACGATCAAATACGAAAATTTTCACCCTGCTCATGGGTTAGATAATCAAACCCACCGGCGGAATATACACAATTTTTTTATACTTTCGCAAACACTTAAATATAGATTTATTTTCCTTTGTCAAAGTTTTTTTAGAACTGTATGTGGATCACATTATCCACTTAGGGTTGTACCATAATTTCCACAATCTCCCAACGTGGCCTTGCGTGCTTCCGTCTTTTCGTTTATATAATTCTCTTCTTTATGTTGTTGAGTTCCTTTGTTATTGTGGATTCGCGTGAAATTCTTAGTTGTTCTCTTGAATTTAATCTTGTTCTTTGATTTAGCAATACAAAACTACAATCAATTTCAAGTGATGAACCTTCTTCTAACCGTGTGCAGCAGCCCTTTGGCTTGCCACAAATGTCCAGTAACAATAGTCATCCTAAGAGCTCATAAACGCATCAGTACAACACCCTTTGTTTTCTTTTCTTTAATGATGATTTTTCTACAACAGTGTCTTCTCCTCAGTGATGGTGTATATATACCTTCTTCTTCTCTAGATCTATAACTGCCTGCGCGCGACTCTTCTCCCTCTCCTCAAGCCTAGTATCGCTCTTTTCTCCTCTACATAGATTGTGGTTGTTGCTTCTTCTTATCATCACCGTATCAACACATTATTGCTGCTTTTCCTTTTGATCATGGGTTATACCATTATATCCTTCTCTGTTTGATGCAAGATTTAGATCTAGACTGATGATCCGATTTTCTCCCGCTCCGACTACGGGGTGTGATATAGAATATCCGTAGAATATTCTCCTTCTAGGTTTAGGATATTTTTTGTATGAGAATATATTTTAAGATATCTTTACATATCTTGTAAGTTACCTAATATGATTAAGACTCTCAATGTAACCTATTGTAGAAATCACTTTGATTAACAGTTTTATATTTTTTGACAGAATCCAAAGGAAACATCTATAATATTATTAAAACACAATGGGACAACATGCTAACGACATGTGTCATTGTTCCCTCAATAATATTTGGCGCCAAATCACCGTTACGCGTCACCCTTACGTGTCACCCTTACGTGTCACCCTGTGTATCATCACTCAAAACTCTTCATATGTGTAACCTTCATATTTAATTTTCATGTAGAATGTAATTTCTAAATAATTGCACTTAAACTACAATTTAATTTGTAAGAAATCAATCACATACTAATGGTTGTTTCCTTGGATACATTTTTTTTTTTTTTTTTTTTGAAGAGACCTTGGATGCTATTTTTCTATATTCAATACAATTAAGCAATTATACATAGTAATATCTACAAGTATTTAAACTTAAGGTAATTTCAATACCCGGGGCATCACCTGAGCCATAATGTAGTTTGATTTACAAGAACAATGTAAGCTTTGAGAGAATTTGAGCTTTCCAATATCCAAATGAAGAGAGGGAAATGGAAGTATTTGAGATTGGAGGGAAAGGGTGATAAATAGAAGAAAGGAGGGTCATGTGACCGACACATGCAAGTCATTGTCAGAAATATGTTAGTTAAGTTTGGAATATAGGTTAAATTTTAACCTGACAATATAAAAAATAAAAAATAAATAAAAAAGTTGGTTTAAGGTTTGAAGTTACCAGATATTTATTTAAAACTCACAAAAAGGTGTTTTATAAAAGATTTTTTTCTTACCAAATTTCATTATTACTTTTAATCAATTAAAGTATATCATAAGTAAAACTTGTTTGTGTTTCAAAAAATAAGTAAAACTTGTTTATAATTTATTTTACATATGTGAAATATTGTAAGTATTTTTTTAAAAAAAACGCTTATAATATCATTACTCTTACAAATTCTATCAAAATTTCGTATACTTGTCATCATGTGTGGGCTTACATTATTGTCGTCGTATAAGACACGACACTTGGCAAAAATTAAAAATCCCACATGTTGTTGTCTCGTGGCCTTACCTAGCTACACTTCTAACTTCATATGTTAGTTATATGCTATACATTTCAGATTAAGATAGAGAATCACTTAGACATCAAAATAAACGCAATTCCTACAAATTAGTGAAAATTTTCGAGTCTGTCTAGAGTTACATCAAAATGTGAGAGAAAAATAATACTTACCGGATTTTTTTCAAAATACCAAAAAAGAAAATTTTATGTGTATTTTGAACTAAGTTAAATTGTGTGTTACTCAACTAACTTTATAGATCTGAGATAGAAAAAGGAAACTACGTTATGAAATAAAATTTGGAGGAATTGTTGTATTATTAATATTCAAAATTATTTTGAAAGATAATTTTTTTTAGTGGAAAGGCAAGAAGGTTGTGGTTAATGAGTTCACTAAAATTTTCGTGATTACAAATTTTTAATTGTAGATCATGAAATTAGTTTATCATATTTTATTTTATGTTTTATTTGCAATTTTTATCCTTATTTTTTTTATGGTGGTTCATATGACAATATAGTCGTGAAAGTGATTCTTTTAATGTGTATTAGTTACAAAATGAGTTAAATGAGTACCAAAGTAGTAGCATGAAAAGTTTAATTAGGTTAGTTTGTGATAAGAGTGATTTTCTTATATGGAATTTGAAGTAGAAAATTACAAAGTTTTTAGGAAGAAGAAAGTTGTTATAGAGAGAAAAAAAAGGGAGGAAAAAGAAGCGCAAGATGAATTAGGTGTAATTATCATATAACTAATACATAAAGCTAAACTTTTAGCTAGTTAGCTACAAGACAACGATACTTGGCGTTTTAACTTTTTGCCAAGTGTTACGCCACGTAGGCAACAATTAACTCATTCGGTTTTGGTTTGGATTTAGGCCAGGCCAAATTTGATCTGATCTGAAATAAAATCGATCAATTTTCAATTTTTAAATCTAATCCGATCCGAATTTCTCACCAAATCCAATACAAGTTAAAATTCAGTTATATGGATCCGATGCGATAACCCGAGTTAAAATACGATACAAATTGTTAACGTCTAATGCGATTTTAAAGATAAAAATAAAATTATTTGTAAAGATTTGTTGTACATGATTAATACAAGTGTTGAAAACATAACTTTACATGATTAATACTAATGTAATAATTAATATAAACAATCCTTATTTGTAAATTCACTGTTTCATATTTCAGTTATTTCGGTTCTTTTGATTCAAATAAGGTCAATCCGATCCGAAAATCCGAATTGTCAAAAAATTCAATCTGATCCGATTTAAAGTTGGGCTTCGATCTGAATTAACAATTTGTTTGGATTGGACTAGACTTCGTTTTGTAATCTGAATAATGGACACCCCTAAACAAAACACAAAATTAGATACATAATTTATGATATTAGGGCTAGTTATAAGACAGAGTTCATCATTTAGGGTTTTAAATTGAAATTGGGGATTTGCTACGTAGTAATTAATTTACGAAATTAGGATTAATTTGCATTAATTTCGTGTATTATGTCATCGGATCGGTTAGTACCACATTAAATTGATACTTTCTCTGTTTTTTTAGATGCATCACTTTCCAAATAAAGAAGTTTCAATTTAGATGTATCACTTTCTTTTTTTAACTAACTAATTCTCTCTATCTCTCCTATTACATGGACCCCATTTTATTTATTCACTCTGCTTCTTTTTACACCAAAAATTACCTAAGAGCCCGTGAAAACTAAATTGATGCAACTAAAAAAAAAATAGAGGAAGTATTATTGTTAAGAAATCATTACTATTGATTGTTATGAAGAATTAGGGTTCATATGTCATTTGGATTTTTTCTTAATTTTGAGATAAAATCATAAATTGAGCATATAAAGTTGATTTAATGTAAATTATGATTAATTTAGAAAATTTTCTCAAGAAAATCCCCTAAATTTAAGATAAACCCTAAAGGAAGAACAACAAATTATAATTAAATCAAATTATACACTTTAGTTTGATTAAATTAGATCCCTAAATTGTGGCCTAGATCGATTTCGATTACAAAGTTGGAGAAGATCAGAAGATTCTTGGTGACGACGTTCACTCATCAGTGGCATATCCAGGAAGTTTGAAGTGTGGGTTTGAAATCATTAAATAATAAGATATAGTTCCTTTGTTTTAACGAAAAATTAGTGGGTTCAATACACCCACTTAACCCACCATGAATCCGCCATTGCGTTCACTAGTCGAGTCGGGGTGAGGATCGAACCCTGGTCACACAGGGGCAAATGGAGGACTAACCATCTCTCCACTCCTTGATCCTCATGACCTAACTCTTTAGTACAATAGGATATACGAAGTAATCTATCTATTTATACTAATCTATTAAAACGTTTCTAAGAACGTATATGCGCCACGTAGACCCCTCATTATGTCACATCACCCACGTAAATCCTCGTTATGCCACGTCACCCCCACTCAATTCCTCAATATGCCACATCACCCACACAACCAACAATGCTCCATATTGTCTCAATTATATTATAAAAAAATATGGATGATGAGATTTGAACACTGAACCTTTTAGAGCAAACCCAACAGTTAACCAATTGCCTTGGTTAGTGAGAGAGAGAAAGTGAAAAATTAATAAAATAATAAAGAGAGAGAAAATTGCATGGAATAAAACAAGTAACCAGGTTATGAAAATAACCGGCTACAAGTTTTGGTTATTAGTTAAAATAATATTCACTTTTTGCTTTTGATGGGTGTCCTTGGTGACGTGGCAAATGGGGGGTGTGACACCCATTTGTTTGATCAATGATTAATTACTTACTAATTAAATCTCAAATTGCATTATGTTAAACATAAGTCATTTTCTTCAAAAAAAAAAAACATAAGTCATTTTATCTATTAATGTATGTTAATGTATAATTATTATTATTGATTGATTATTACCAAGTGCATTAGTTATATATGATAGGATTTAATAGAGAGATTGTATGGTGGGATTGGGTAAAAGTAGAAGAGAAAAAATGTAATTCGTATAACCAAAAAGTTGTGATTAACTATTGGAATATATTGGTTATTAAATGGGTTTAAGAGTGGTTATATGTGAGGTGGAAGATGGAGAAATTAATAAAATAAGTATTAACCACAATGGTTGTAGCCACAACCATTGTGTTTGCTCTTAGAAGAAACATTTTTGTTTAACCATATATGCTAATTGTCAATTATGCCCTAACCTTATACACAAATTAACATTATATTATAAAAGTATTGAAAACACATACTACGGCCTCATTTGGTTGAATGTGGGGAATGCAAATTCCTTGAAAATGTGCATTCCCATGTAATTGGAATTCCTAGGAAATGCTAAATTGTGTTTAGTTAACCATGGAAAGTGGAAATTCCCATGGGGAAGTTCCACTTATCTAAGTCTCCCTAGATAATTAAATACCCCCATTTTGTGGGAAGTGAAAATTTATGGGAATTTCTACTTCCCATGATTTTGTCAACCAAATAACTCTAAAGAGTTTCAATTCCTAGAAATTTCAACTTCCCATGTTTTTATTTGTCAACCAAACGAGGCCTACATATAAACGATTAAATGTCCTTAAAAATTAGTTATTACACAACTATAAAAATAGTAATATGAGGTAACGCCCGGGCTATCTACTATATAAGTATAAAATTTTTACCCCGTATACCAAACAAGTTAAAAAATGTAACTTTGTAAGAAAAGTTGGCATTTTCCCAAAAAAGAAAAAGAATTGATTGAAAATTGAGGGACCACCCTCCACAAAACGCAAACGAAAGACGCAACTGCTTGCTTACCAAAGCCAGGATAATAGTACACTGTACGAGTACTCTAAATTTCACATAACCCGGATTTGAACACCCATTTCCTTAACTCTATTTAACAATGGACCCTCACGTCCGAACCTTGTGCTGCAATTGGGTGGAAAAACACAACCCAATATTCAATTAAAATTAATTAAAAAAAACAAAAAAGAAAAGTTAAGAAAATAAAAAAGAAAAGAAAAGGCGTTTTGTTTGGATTTCTCTTCTTCCTTCCTTCCTTCGTCAAAAAAGAGCGAATTCCTTCAATCGTGATTACACTGACATACACACCATAGAAGGTTAGACCAACAAAACAGGAGAGAGAAAATCCTTTACAACTTCCGCGTTTTCTCTCTAACTCATCTTCACTTTCTCTCTCCTCTCCGACTACGACGACGACTTTCCTCAATCTTCTGGTGATTTCCCCCCTTTTTTTTGTATTTATTTGTCAATTTCTAGGTTTTTTTTTTTTTGAGGATTTTATTTTTTGTGATTTTTTCGGTTTATTTTGGTTGAATTTGTGAAATTTATTGTGATTTTTTTTTTTGTTTTTGATGAGGTTATTGATTGATTGTTTTGTTTGATTTTCGAATTTTGGTTTTGTTAATGGTGTGTGTGATGAACAAAAATTTATGAATTTTTGATTGTTTGTTGTGATTTAGGTGAAAATTTAGGTTACTTGAGTATGAGCTGCAGTCGTTAGTGTGCTTATCGGCTTTCTGTGTAGCAGTTAAGGTAGATACGTCGTGGTGGATCTTGCAGCTGAGTAATGGATTTGGTGGCTAGCTGTAAGGTATACATTTTTCGCCGTCTTCGTGTATATGTCACTATATATTGTTTTATGTGATTGAAATTGATTGATTTTTGTAAGATTGCAATATTCAGTGGCTAAATGACAGTAAGGAGGAGTTTAGTAGTTTGGCGATGTTTGTTTATGGCTGTGTAGCATTCCTCGGCCGTCTGGTTAGAAATGGCACACTATATTGTTGATAATTAAAGATGACTGGTGCACTGAAGTAAATTAGCTTATTCGTTTGGTGTCAAGGGTTGGTGCATTGAAATGTATTTATTTTTCGTATATGGCGGCATGAGGGATTATGAGAGGTGGGGAGCATAGCAAGCTGCCTTATGTAGTATATTAATTTTTAGTTCCTTTAATGGTCGTATTCCTTTATTGTTATGTTGCCAGAATTCGTACAGGGAGCTAATGTAGAGAATGTGATTTGGCCTCTTGGTGAAGGGCTTAATGTTTGGGTATTACAGGGAGCTAATTTTCATTCCTAAAGGCAGGGAAACTGCATAAAATGTACGCTTGTATTAAAATTCAGTTTGGAGGGTTTTAAATTATCATGTTTCACGTGAGTTGTGAGGTTGTTTGAGTAGTAAAGTAGTAGTGTGCCAGTGTCTTGTAATTTTGGTCTTTTAGACAGGGAACACCGTAGATTTCACACTTATTGGTGGTTATAAGGGAATAAATTTAGAAACATAATGATATAAACAGTTTACATGGCCTTCCCAAGGGAATTGTGATCTTGATTGAATTGGAAGATTAGACTTTTTAAAGAAGAGACCAAGAGAAATTTATAGTATCATGCTGCATGATGTATAGATAGAACTTAAACATGTAGGTTAAGAGAGGAGAAGAAACTAGATAATTGCCTCTTTAATGGACGCTCTTTGGTACACTCCTTTTTTTTGTTTTTTGACAATTACATCGGAATAATGCCTATTTTTTTCTTGTAAAAATTTATTGCTCTTTTAGTTGGTTGGGAAATTGGCTTCCGGAGAATATCACGTGACACTTTAGCATCTCCTACGAGTCCTTCAATTTTTAGCTGTACATATCTTCTCTATTTTCTCTCTTTCTTGTGGACATTCTAGTATGCCAATTTGATATATTTTTTATTTCTTAAATTTTTATCATCGAAAAGTCTAGACTAAGAAAACTGTGGAGATAGTGGGAAACTCAACAAGGTCACAATTTCAAGCCTCACCATGGCATTCCAGCTGTGTAGTTGTGCTAAGTCTGCTGGCTAAGCCATGCCAATCCTCTAGGGTCGTCTCCTTATTAAAAAATTAGTAACTGTCAAAAAAATCCATGTTAGAGACTTTAAATAGGTCTTTTGTCTCAGTCCACAGAAAGCGTGAGAAAAACTCTTCAGTAATCTTGGAAGACTTGTTGTTGTATGATGTCTTTCCCACTCTATATGGCGATTTTAGTGAAACAAGCCAATAAATTCATGTTCAGTGAAATGCAGTAAATATAGGCTAGGTGGAGGCTGTTGTTTTAGATTTCACTTGATGACTTGAGGCTCTATTATCTATGTGATACTTATTTTAATGTACATGAAGGAAAGTATGAAGAATTTCTGTAGTATATCCCTCATATGTGTAGTTTATGATGGAAACATGATGCAAAGTTCATCGCCTTGTGTTTTGTTTAGAGATAAGTTGTACTTGCTTTCTCTTAAGAACCTTATTGTCATTTTATTAGTATATGTTATTATCAATGGTTTATATCTTTGACATGCGATAATCTTTTGTAGGACAAATTGCAATATTTTAGAATCAAGGAGCTGAAGGATGTGTTGACTCAACTAGGTTTCTCTAAACAGGGAAAGAAGCAGGTGTGCTATGATTTATAGTTGTTTGCATTGCTAAATGTGGAGGACTCAAATGTTAAGAGTTTTGAATGCTTTGTGAGCTGTTTGTAAAATGACATTTAGAATATCAATATATTTTTTATACCTTTTGTTTTGATCTGTTACACTTCTTTTCTTGCTTTAAAAAATGATTCATTTATTGTAGAGGCTTATGCATTAAAATATGTAATTACATGAATGATTTCGAAATTGACTTCTGACCTCAAAACAATTCATTTTAATTTATTTTAAGGGTTTGTAGGATGATTGTTACTTTGTTAGGGTGAATCATGTTTGCTTGGGTCCGCCATCTATTTTTTGCCTGTTGTCTGGCCATTCTGCTTTGTGAGAAGAGTTTCTTGTGTGTATCTGTTGTTTAGAGTTAGCAAATATCGCCTGTCTTGGACTTGCGCATGGACATAATATTGGGCTTCAGTGATATATAATGATACATATTGATTACATTTGGGATTTACACAAACTCAAACCTAACTAAATGGAGCACAATTTTGTATCCATATTCTATGTAGAGTCTTATTATCAGTACTATGTGTTTTGGAAGTGAAGGATCAAAGATCTTAGAGCGAAGCTGCTATAGGTGTGAGGCTAGAATAAACTTTGTTCCTTTAATAAACTTTTCCTGTTTTTGAAATCTAAATCATATACCTCCTCCATTCTTTTTTTATCGCAACGTTGGGGATTTCACGCTTGCAAGTGCACATTTTATAACTTAAAATATCTTAAGTTGTATTTTAGTAAAAATTATAAAAAGTTACTATTATGAAAGTAAATTTCAAGACGAATCTAATAAAATCTCACGTGACTATTTTTTTCCATTGTATAAGTCCCAAAAGACAATGGAATGTGTATGAATAGTGTAATTTTCCAAACGTTGCGATTAAAAAAGGACGGAGGAGATTAAAAAAGGACGGAGGAATATTATCGATATTTGTCATATTTCGAAATTACTTATTAGAAAAGGGAACGTATGAGAAGAGGGGGAAAAACTTTGATGGATCTCTACAATATTTGGCTGAAGTTGCAATGGTGGAAGGCTCAAATACAAACAGATGAGATAAGAAGGGAATATAAAACTGAAACAAGCACCTATGAAATGGGTAAAATATAAGATTGATTTAGAAGGAATAACTCAAGCCATTAAGGGAGGACAGAAACATATAAAAGAAGAGGCGACAGTTGGCTGATAATAGTAAACATTGGGATTCGGTAGTGTGGTAGTTAAATTGAAGACAAGAGTCGGAGTTGAAGATTGTGAGAATTTCTGGCTTGAAAGAATGCATGGGGAAAACTATTTGCAAAAACTGTGTTTCATTACTGGGTGTTGGATTTTGTTTCGAGATCTGGGTTGAAGAAATTTCATGTTCTATATTGTGGGTTGAGCTAAACATAAGATGTATGATTTGAAAAAAACCTAATAACCTATTTAGGCAAGTTTTGAAGTATTTAAATCAAACTTTGCCTTGATAAGTGGATGCAAAAGAGCTGCATTTTTGGCTGTCCAGTGGCTGGTACAATATGCTGATGTGCTATCAGCTTGTCAGTGGTTGACGTGCATGAAGTTGCTGCCAAACCAGAGAATTTGAAGGGCAAATAGGGAAGGAGGGTAAGTATGCTTGGCAATTTTGCCTTGTATCATTGGAAGGGATAGTCCACTGAAGTTGCTAATGTATTCTTCATTTATCTATTAGCGTTTATGCATCCTGTTTTATTTAAATGTATGGGCCTGTGTATGACCGTTAAAATGGACTGTGAGAATCATAATATAATTTAGTAAAGATTTTATGTAGAAAAGTAATGACTTAGAAAGATGTAGAGAATTTAGTCCTGCAGCAGCTTGTCCATTTGTCGAATTTTTGAGTCAACTTGCGAGTTGTAACTAAGGGTGCTGAACTGCAGATGATATAACCTTCTCACGTGTTACTCAAGCTCAGATTGGTCAATGCTCAGTTAGATTCTGGACTTGGTTTGATTTTTTTACGAGCCGAGCTTAGCACAAAGCTCACCTCTGATAGTTCGTGAGCAGGCTTAGATATGTATAAAGTAAGCATAATATGAAAGTTATAGTTTCATGTGTAATAATCAAATTCAGAAGAATACTTTCTTGGTCTGTTTGGGAACTTTGGTTCCATTAGAAAGTCTAGGATTGGACCAAATTGAGTGTTAGACAAATCAAAGATTTTGGAATTGGATTTGATCCAAATAAGCTCTCCTTTGATAGAAGAATGTCAAATTACTGATATAATCTGTCATTTTTTATTCCTTAGCTGTTCATGCAAAAAATCAGACCTCATCACGTCCCCCTTTTGTCTCTCTCTCTTCTTTTAGTGGTCAGACGTCTGATCATCTACGTCAACCCTTGTATTTTTCTCTCTTTATTTGAGGCCAGAGTTACAACATCCATAGCTGCTGCCACCCATCTAATTGATATTTGAAGTGCCAATTTCACTTTTGCTTTGTTCAAGTTTTTGATGTTATTTTGAAACAAATATTTCTATTGTTATCACTCTAGATCACAAGTAATTTTATTGACCATTTGTAAAAAAATTATGCTATATAAACATTATAGTGGAATTGAAATTCAAGATATTGAAATACTAATAATTCCCAAACATGATATTTAAAATTATTAGTACAGTTTTTAGATTCCGAAATAGAATTCCATCATTTCAATCAATTCATGATTTCCGGTTTCTAAATACCACCTTTGAGATATTGAAAGTATTAGCAATAAGTTAAAATAAAGAATATCATGATGGGAAAACATATAATTTTAGTTGAAGCTCAATACTTGAGCTACTCAAGCTTGGCGTTGGAGTCTGAGCTTGATTCTGAATCTTGTTATGAGTAGTTTTACTGCAAGATTGAGCTCTGCTTGGCTTCTGCTTTTAATTGTATGTCCTGCAGTTAGTAACCGCCTCGTGCAATTTTCTGTAATTATACAACTATAACCATCCTGTAATCTGTAACATGAAGTTGGAGTTCATCACGGGTCAATGTTCATCAAAGAGTGGCCCTTTTATCTGTGTGAGGGGTGGCCCATCTTGTGGAAGTCAATAAATGTTTTTTTAATGCATCTTGGCTACATTTGCATGCTTTCCAAGAAAGTTATGTTTTACACGGAGACAGACTCAGTCATGGACATGTGTCTCTAGAGTTGTACTGCATAGAAGATGCTATGTGCTGAGATGCATATTGATTCATATTTAATGTCTTTACTATGTGCTGAGATGCATATTGATTCACATTTAATTTGTCTTTACCAACAGCCATGACTAATTGTTGCTATAAGCAGCCATTGATGGTCACTGTCACCTGGCCAACTCTGTGTCATTGTCTATCTAGATGTAAGATTATTTGGTTGCGTGTGTTGAATGTAACCCAAGGAGGTGAGATGGAGTTGGCAGTTATGGTGAGTGAAATTGTTGAGTTGGGAGATGTAAATGAGATGGCGGAGATGTTGCTTCTAAGTTGAGACAGGGTAGAGGGGTGGGGGGGGGGGGGGGGGGGTGGGGGGAGAGTTGGAGGAGAGAGGGTTGGAGGAGAGAGGATAGGAATTGGGGTGAATGGAGGATCATGTGTATACAAAAATGTGGTATACTTGGGATGTAAAGTGATTTACAATTGATTTTTGACTAGAAATTTATTTCAAAAGTCTTTTTTCAATTTTGTTTCATGTCATGGGTGTAGAAAGGTGAGGCCATTTGCTTTAGCAAAACCTTGTTATAATGATAACATACTTGTTTCAAACATGTGGCAATTGGATTAAGGATTTGATATTTGTTCTATATTTCAGTTGGATGTTGCTATGCGTTGGAGGTAGTGTTGTTTGATGTGTTTTCTTATGCTATATTACTCTTGAATATATTAAAACACTCAATATTTGGTAATTACCTTTATGTATCCTAAGTAAACTTTTCAGTGACCTATATATGCTGTATTAGCGTGCATTACCTTTTTTCTGGAGCACTTGTCATACTGTTACCCTCGCAAATTGGTTTGGCATCTCAGTTTCAACCACCACATATTGTTGTGTAGATAGTGAATTGTGTTATTTTATCAAAAGAAAATGCTTGTAAGGACTTGTCTTTCAGAAGGGTATAGGGTATTTTGGATTGATCCTTATCATTTTGTTGCATGGCTTACATGTTTATCTTTTAATTTTGTTTGCAGGAACTTGTTGATCGAATTTTGGCTTTTCTTGTTGATGATCAAGGTAGGTGGTCTAGTTACTACCCGTGATTTATTTTATGAATCTCTGAAGTTTGAGATAAACAAGGGCTAAGTGTCTTTTGTGGTTGGAACTTGGATGACTTTGTCTTTATTGGTTATTGATGTTTTATGCTTCCTAGTTGATGGGGTTTGTTTTTTTTTTATAAAGTTTTTATCTGTTCTTGAGTGTTCTAGCCTTAGTATGTGAAGTGGTAACAGCAATGTAGTATTGACATGTGTTTTTGGGTCCCGTTGTCCGCTGAGCATGTGTTGCAGCTTTCTATTGATTTGCTCAGACTTTTAATTTCATATACGAAATACATGTTTTTGGATAAGTTTTTCTTGAATAAGTTCAGTTCTTCCTTCTCCCTTGCTTTTTATTTCGTCTTGATGCCTAATCTCTCCCCTTTTATCCCTTGGATGTGGGAGTCACAATGTTGCTCTACTCAATCGAGAAATTCACAAAAAATTTCAAGGATATACTGGTTGTTTCAGGATTTCATGTGTAGCATTGTAGATTGAAGCTTTAAACCTTTACAACCCTTCTCTTTACTGGAGTCATTACTCATTAGTGGTCTAGTTATGCAAGCATAGAGCAGATTTATCGTCTTGATACAATTCAATTCAATATTCCAGTTTATATGATTTTATGAAAAGAATAACTCCCGGGCTTGGTGCATGAAGGCTATCTAATTAATTTCTTGTGAAGCTTGATAATGTATATTAGGGAGAGATTTTGGTTTCCTTGAGCTCTTTTTCCTTGTTTACTAGCTGACAATAAGGCACCTTATTTCAATTGTTTATCCACATTCATTTCTGATTTGACCTGTGATTTACTTTCTAATGGGCTTTTGTAAATTATTCCAGAGCCTTTTTTCTGCCACATTTTCACTTTTTGTGCAGTCCTGAACTTCTGGAAAGGCCTGCATGTCTATTAATATTTGCGTGATGTTTTTTCATGCAAATTGCTTGACTTTGCATTTTCTATAGTTTTTCTGCCATGTTGAAAGTTTTTCTTTTACTTGTGTATTGTGGCTTGACTAGTGGTATTTTATTTTTGTATTGCAGCTTCCAAGATGTGGGTAAAAAGACCTGCACTTTCAAAGGAAGAACTAGCAAGATTAGTGGATGATATTTACAGGTTTTATAACAAGACTTTTGTTTTTCTCATGGTGAAATGTTTTATATCCATATATATACATCCTTTCTGATTTGCTGTTATTTGGTAAATTTTCTAATCTAATTTACTAAGTCTAGACTCTTGAGGTATCTGTTGTTGTTATCTATGGTAAATGTTACCCGAATTTTGTTGAAGATTGGTTTATCTGCATTCTGTATTTTTAAATGCTGTCTTCTTGTTACAAGGAAGCCTTAGTTTAGGTCAAGAGGAACAAAATTCACAAGCACAAACATAGTTTTCTTAATCGGCACTCTGGGTGTTTTCTTGGCTGTAACTACTAGATTTGGTACATCTTTGAAGCTTTCACCTTTTACTTTGTTACCAGGAAAATGCAAGGGTCTGGTGCTACTGATTTGGCTTCAAAAGCACAAAGCACGTCGGATACTGCTACGGCTACCATTACCTTGAAACCCAAAGAGGAAGTTGATGACTCTTTGCATGTGGATATGAAAATTCGGTGCCCTTGTGGTAGCTCACTGCTTACAGAGTCAATGATCAAGGTTTGTGCTTGTTTTCCTTATATAATCTGCTGGCTTTTCAATTATGTCAATCGAGATTTTTATAGTTGAGTAAAGACTCTTGTTTTCTCCCTCCATATTCATACATAACACCTTAGCCAAAGTATATATAACGTACAGGGTAAATAATGAGTTTTGGAGAATTGAAAATTATTGAAAATGTGTTTAGTTTCAACTTTCAAGATGCATCTTTATCATTTATCGATTTTGTGTCAGATAAATCAGATCTTGAATCTTTAATCCATTAATTTATTATTAAGAATTTTTATCGATTTGTAGGGAAGTCTATGAATTAAAAAATGTGGTTGTGGAATGGCTGTAATATTTATCAGAAGCTTATGCCTGTGGGGGTGTAATTAGCATTGTCATATACTCATATTTTTATGGCCGGCACTTGAAAGTAATTTTTTTGGTGAATTTAAGCTTAGTTACAAGTAATAATTGATAGCAGAACAGTATTTTTAGCAATACATTGCCTTTATTTATTCATTTTTTTTTTATATTATAAAAATATTCTATGTACTGAAGAGTAAAAAAGAACAGACTCTTTATATGGAGATCTGTTGTAAATGTTATGTCAACTTATTGCACTCATTCATATTTATTTTTTGTTGTTTACCTGACCTTCTGTCGTCTCTAAAGATTTTTTTAATTAGGGGAGAAGGGGGAGGGGGGGTGTTGTATGCAAGTTAGTGTGTATATCTTTAACCTGTGACTAGCAATAGATCTTTGGAGTGGTATCAACATGAGTTTCTGGGGCATCCTGAAATTTATTCACACTTATTTATGGCCGTGGTCATGTTTTTGTCCCTGTCAACTTATTTGTTGTTACTTTCTTGTTTCTGAAATTTCTGGAATTTGGTTTTCAGTGTGAGGATCCAAGGTGTCAAGTATGGCAGCATATTAGCTGTGTAATTATACCAGAAAAGCCTATGGATGGGATTCCACCTGTTCCTTCCCAGTTCTATTGTGAAGTTTGCCGCCTCAATCGAGCTGATCCGTATGTACCGTTGACATCCTGCAGAATATACTATGTTCTCACTTTTCATGTTTGTTCATTGGATCTGGTGTTGATTATTTGATAGGCTCTACTTCCAAAGAAGACAACCTCCAAGTCTTATATTGTGCATGATAAGTAACAAGGGTCTTTACACACTTAGTTGATTGGAATGTTTTGGTTTCTTTGTATAATGTTAACTTATACCAAGGCTATTCACAGTGCCTGATGAAAGTGATTCGAAGGGTTTTTGTTTTTTTTTTTTTTTTTTTTTTTTTTTTTTTTTTGGTTTAGTTACCTGTTAATGTTCCTAGTAAAATCCATGTGTCACTGTTCATATTTTTCTGTGTTTCAAGTGGTCAGATGTATGTTAAGTAATGAGGGTCTTGTTGCTTTCAAACATGCCTTGGCCCTTTTGAAATGGAAGCAGCCTTCGTCTAATCTTTTCCTAGCCTATATTGATTGTCTTATGTCCATCTATTTATCATTTGCTTATTTGACGGGAAATTAAATCATAATTACACTGTTGGGAAATTCGACCAGGGATCCTTGAGTGAGAATTAGATGACATGAATTTGCTAATTTGTTGAGTTCAGTAGTGTTTCTAAATCCCTGGATAGGTGAGTGTGGCTGCCAATTTCACTGGCATGTTATTGCTTATCTTTCATTAACAATGCACAAAGGCTATCAAATGTAGTCTTCCCTTCAGTGATGAGATCTTGAAGCAAGTCAAAGCTTTTGTAACGGCAATTGTGTCGGAGATACTAAATACTAACAGATTAGGATGGTTTGGATGAATCCTTTTGAGAAGATGTCTTGTCAGGCTTTCATAGCAGGACATCGTTAGGAAAAGAACTTCACTTGTTTTTTTTTTTGAAGGTACACTATAAGGCATTGTTGCTTTATGTGTGTGTTTAGTTTTGATTATGATTGTTATGGCAATTTTCTTTGGAGTCACTCTTAAAGTCCTGTCCCAGTCCATAGAATATGTATTGGGGATTCGGAGTCTAATCTCTTTTGTTTCCCATATAGGATTCAGATGGGAACCAAGATTATGTTTTGGAATCCTCGCCTTTATTCTATTGACCTTTTGTACCATTAATACCTTGGACTCCACATCTAGAGAATTAGATGCTTTTCTTTTTAGTGTCTCAGAATTCGATTGGTGGGAATAGGATGAGTTAGTTGTTTGTTTGGTTGGCTGAATTTTTACCCTTTTTTAGTGTCTCAGAATCAGTTAGTTACTGTAAATCATAAAATGATCATTTTATCTTAAATATTTTATGACTTAATGTTCTCTCTTTTTTTTTTTTTTTTTTTTTATTTTTTTTTTTTTTTTTTTTTGAGGCTATGATTCTCTTTTCATCTGTATTCTCAACTATCCGTATTCTTATATTGTGCAGCTTTTGGTCTACACTGGGACACCCATTGTCATCTGTAAAGCTGATGGCTAGTACTTTGCCAACTGATGGGTAAGTAGTCCAATCTTCTCGTTATGCAAGTTGTGCATTATGAAGTGAACCTTGAAGTGGATTTCTGTTTTGTATCATACTTTTTGGTTTGATAAAAATTGCATTTTATTGTCCTGAATGGGATGATATTGCATATTCACTTAATTGTTTTGCCTTGGTGTTTTCCTTGGTAATGCTTAATTTTTCTTTATGTTGCATATATCTTTCATTTAATTTGTAGTGCTATGTGATCTCGCTGATTTGTGGTTTCCTACCCATTTACAGTACAAACCCTGTGCAGTGTGCGGAGAAAACGTTTCATCTTACAAGGTCTGACAAAGAGTTGTTAGCTAAGCCGGATTATGCTGTCCAGGTTTGTGAATTGCTTAAGTAATAATAGGGATTTGCCAGATGTGCTATGTCTTCTTGTCGTCATGTTAATTAGCTCGTTATTTTTCTCTTTCGTTTGTCTGCCTGTCTCTTTGTGTTTCAAAATTATATTCCCTCCATTGTTTTGAATGTTTCTTGTTGACATTTTGACCATATATATCTAGGGATATATGGATTACTATATGAATTATTGAAAAGTAAAAATTATCAAAGTATATGAAAACATACATTGAGAAAAATCTAACATTTTTTTTGACAACAATCCAACATTATTTTACATATAAAATCTGTTTTTATATATTCCGTTTTTTGGTCGAAGTAGTTCATTGGAAAATGTGAAAGTCAATATGGAAAGGTAATACAAATACAACGGAGGGGTTAGACCTATTGTAACTTTGTAAAGAATGAAATAAACACATGCCATGCACTTCAACTTTGCATACTGCTTTTTTTAAGCTGGCATCCTTGATTGGCATTGTTCAAGATTTGCTGGAGAAGAAAACTAATGATCTAATCACTTGTATCTCATTCAGGCTTGGTGCATGCTTCTCAATGATAAGGTTTCTTGTAGGATGCAGTGGCCGCAATATGTAGATTTGCAGGTCAATGGTAAGAATTTTGATTTACTTCATCCTGTTCACAGTGAGGTTGTGATCATCTTTATAGAATTTCTTGGTAATGTTGGCTTTAAGTCCTTGATATCTGGTAACAATTGAATTTCTTAGTTTGATTTGATTTGGTTGGTATTGAATTTCTTAGTTTGATTTGATTTGGTTGGTTTGTTTGTTTGTTTGTTCTTTTTTTTTTTTTTTTTTTTTTTTAACCCCAGTTCTGATTAAGTTGTGTTTGCTCATCTGGATGTTTTCTCATTGTACTTGTTGATTTTTCGCAAAAAGACCTATAGAATTGATTTTCATGCATCTGTCTGATTTTTGTAGAAATATATGTTTGGTCTGCTTGGCCTTTTATGATATGGCTTACCTGGAAATGATCTGATGTGTACATCATAGTCGATTCTGGTATGAAGGTTAATGAGGGAAGATTGAAATAAACTTAAGGAGGAAAAGGAGCCAGTGCCAATTTTTATTACTTGTCTTTATAAATATGGTTTTTTTTTTTTTTTTTTTTTTTTTTTTTTTTTTTTTTTTTTTTTTTTTTTTTTTTTTGTCCCCTGTTGTGCTACTTATATTGGGCCCTCCAAGTTGTATGGTATTTATTTAGTTGTTAATGCTATCCTTTTTCACCTTTTTATCACCTTTTTAAAAGGGAAAGAAAGAATAAGAGGTGTTGTTTGCTGGCTGACAATTTTAGCTGACGAGTTCAACAATACTGTTGGGCATAAATTAGTTTTTTTTTTTTTTTTCTTTTTTTTTTTTTTTTGGTAAAGTAAAATATGATGTATGAAAATATTGAACATATCTTTGCACACTGTTGATGTAGCATGTGTATTAATTTGTCTTAGGCATGCCTGTCAGAGCTATCAGTAGACCTGGTTCACAATTGCTTGGGGCTAATGGTCGTGATGATGGTCCAAATGTGAGTTTTTCATTTATTTTTTTCCCCATTTTCAAAAACTTTGTTGGGTAAATTACCTTTAGTTTGTCATGTTGTGATTGAACCTTATCAACTTGTTTACTTGTTCCTCTTTCAGATATCACAATGCACCCGAGATGGAATTAATAAGATCTTTATATCAGGACGTGATTCTCGTATATTCTGTTTCGGTGTTAGATTAGTGAAGCGGCGTAGTCTTCATCAGGTATAATTATACTTTTTATTTCATTTTTTCTTTGTTGTGATGTAGCTGGCATATGTGAATTTGGTGAAATGAATGAAGCTAGAATTTTAGATGCCTACTTCGATTAATATTTAAATGTTGCAAGTTTTATGAACATGTGTGGGGGGTCTTACTAAAGTATCTGGAGCATAGATAGAAGAAGAATTACACTTGCTCCAATTGTTAGGTGACTTAGTTTTCTTTTCACAAAATTTGAAAGGGAACCCTAACCAATATTAGTGGTACTTAATGGAGCGCTGCCTTTGTTTCACAAGGTAAATGGTGGACATTTAGGGCAATCTATTTGAAATGTACTAATATGGAGACCGGCACAACTCATCTAATGGGAGTGGGTCCCAGTTGCACTTATTTTCAAATATAAAACTCAACCCCCCCCCCCCCCCCCCCCCCCCGCCCTCTTCTTTTTCCCTCATCTCGATGACTGTATGACCAAGTCTCTTCTTCAACCTCCTTTAATATACTTTCCATGTATCCTCTCTCTCTCTCCCCTTCATGTCCAGATCCCTCAATTAATGGTTTTAACTGTATACTCCACCTTTTAGAGAGAGGGAGACTCCTTTTTCACCTTATTTGAGCTTAAATATTCTATACTTGTAGAAGTGAATTTTAATTACAAATTAAAAATGAATTTTACCTATGTACTCTGCTGTTATATGAAGTTATAGATTTTTAGTGGACGTAAAATATTAAACTGGTTTTTACTGATTGAACTTATCATAATAATCTAAACTTATCTACAATGATTACAACTTTTTATTTACTGAATATCTTAACTTTTTAAGTTGAAATAAACAGGGCCGAAGTGTCTGTAGCCTCGTATCATGCATATAATATTATAATCTGGATCAATCTTATTGTCATAAGGTGCTAGCCACACCGACTTGCAAAGGGTTCTCGTAGCCACAACTTAATTTTTTTAAAATTTTGATTAAAATAATTTCTATTCTGGTTTTCATAAAAATATAAAAATAAAAAATAAAAAAAACTTTTTGAATAGTGTTGGGGGTAAAAAAGAGGGGGGGGGGGTCACGTGAACAGCTAAATCAGAGTCGTGGTTCCTGTCAATTCTGTCAACATTTACCAGCTGAAAAGGAAAAAGTATACTTTCTCCGTTTTTATATAGATGCAACACACCCTTTAGCACACATTTAAAGAAAACTACTGTTCACTGGTCCCCACATGACTTTAACTCTTCAATTAACACTTTTAATTACCCACCCACTGCTTTAAACTCATCCCTGCAAAATAAACAAACCCACTAATCAACACCCATTATAATCGGCCATCTCCACTGCCGAAGCTGCCGCTATCGTCACTCCTACAGCCACCAGCTCCACTATCGCCAAAAAAATTAATAGGAAAAAAAAAACAACAATAATATCAAAGAAAAAAATCTAGATCTAAGAAAACTAATTAAAAAAATTTAGCAAAAAAATGAATTACTAATAACCACCACCACAAAAACATCCCATCCACCTTTCTTCCTTAAATCTATCACCATCACACGACCACCGGTACAATTATTGAGAAGAGAGAAAAATCAATTATCCACCATTAACACTCAAGGGAGAGAACGTGGTGAACTTACTGTTTTTTAGCAAAAGTGGTGGAGAAGGGTGGTCGTTTTGGCGAGATTTGTAGAGGTGGGTGGTGGTTTTGGTGGCTCGGTGGGATTGGATGGTGGTTTTGAACAAAGTGGTGGTGATTTGGGTGAGGTGGGCGGTGGTTATGGTGGGAATAGTGGTGGTGATTTTGGTTGTTACGGTGGGAGTAATGGAGGAGTGGGTATGTAAGGGTTGAGAGGAGAGAGAAAATTACTTTAAAGAGGGTGGGTAAGTGGGTTAATTTAAGAAACTTAAATTGGTTCCTTCCAAAAAAAAAAAACAGAAACTTAAATTGGTTAAGTAAAGGCAAGTTTGTAACTTTGGCTAAGAAAAGTTTCCATATATGTTGTGTGGCAAGTATTGTCACATTTCCATTTTAGAGAAGTGTTGCAAGTAAAAAAAAAAAAAAAACAGAGGAAGTATCTATAGATCAAGATTGAGAAGACCAAATAAAAAATAAAAATCAAACATCTTACTAGTAACAAAGAAGAAAGAATACTCAGAAGAAGCTCTTCCAGATCGATAAGGAAAAGTGAAGAATGAATATAGAAGAGGACAATGAAGACAAAGAACGAGAGGAGAAAAGAAGATCAAAGAGAGAGATTGATGAAAAAAGAGGAGATTTAGGAAGAGAGAGCAGTCCTGGAATTCCTTGACCAGCGATGACGGCAGATATGGTGCCAGAAAGCACCAGAGAAGCCTCACCGCCTTCATTTGTTATACCAGCAACCACCAATTTGCCAATCACTTCCCAGTTATGCATTAGGGTTTCCAACAATTAGGCTTACAATAGAAGGTGTTTGCTCAAATTTTCTATTGAAGGCTGGGCAAGAGTTAAGTTTTTGACGCCAATCCCTTCCCTTCCTCACTCTCGCTTTTGAACTAAAAGTGCACAAAGCACAGCTCCTCACGCCTTGCTTGAGGTGAGAGCCTCTCAGTCCCTTCTGGAATGCACTGTGCCTAGGTAGGGGGAGGCCCGCTTTTGAAAACTAAGCTCTATCCCCAATCAATAGAATCCTTGACTGACTCCTGTTATAAGCTGCTTCTTTTTTCTTGTGTTATTATCCCTTTGTCTCCACTCTCATATGTCATGGTGCTATCGTCATTATGTATTGCATGTATAATAATAATAATCAATAATATAGTCATTATAAATTGCATGGTGCTATACATTATGCATTGCAATGAAACTTAAATAGTTCCATGTTTGCATGTGAAGTGAGTTTTACTGATTAGTTATAAACACAAATGCATTTAATGCTTGGGCTGTCTTTCCTGTTTACTGCTTATGATTTGGCGAGTTCAATTGAATGCCATTTTGGTTTACGAAGGTGGGGCTTTTAGGTATATGTTTCTTCTGTGATTACCTATGCTAATTCACAAATCACTTTCTCGATTGCGGATCCTTTTCCCTTAGGTTGGAACAATATTCACGTTTGTTGACTCCCATTCTTGTCTAATAGAGGTACTGTTTATTGTTGTCCAGGTCTCCCAAATAGGGGGTTAATTCCTTATAATATTATATCCCTTTGGTCTACGCTTTTTCTGTAGAATTGTTAGTTTCTTATAACATTGCATCTATTTGGTCTTTACCCATTCTGCCCATATAACATTACATCCATTTGGTCTTTACTTGCTCCATTGAATTGCTTGTTTGTCCGACAGTTACAAATTGGGATTAAGTTACTGTTACTGTTATAATATTCCGTTGGTTTCAGCCTTCTTTATTTCTTATTTTAGTAATTAATTAATTTTAATCATTTTTTTTCTATGTTTTTGTAGATATTAAGTTTGATTCCAAAGGAATCAGATGGTGAGCTCCTTGAAGATGCTCTTGTTCGTGTGCGTCGCTGCATTGGAGGTGGTGAAGCTGAGAATGCTGATATTGACAGTGATTTGGAAGTTGTTGCGGAATCCATAACTGTTAACTTGCGTTGTCCTGTAAGTTTTTTCTTTTAATTTGAGTGAAGACATAATTCTATTAGTTGTGTATCATCAATGGTGTAATACATCTACGTAGCCAAAAATTTTACTCCTTTCAGAATGGAGCTCCTTTCCCTTAATAAATTATGCAGCAGACAAACCATAGGCAAAGTTTCTTGAAATTTGGCTTAGATCTTTGGAAAATTCTAATTTTACAGTTTCCATTACAGAATAACCTTTTTATAAGGTTAGATACTGATAAAGGAGTTCAAGGGTGTGTTAGTATTCAAGTGACTATTAATCTTGATTTAGAAAATTAGTATGACAGACAGATAATATGGTACATTGATTATGTTTATGATTTGAGGAATTTGGTTTTTTTCAAATCAGATGAGTGGTTCTAGAATGAAGATTGCTGGAAGATTCAGGCTATGTCTGCATATGGGTTGTTTTGACCTTGAAACTTTTGTTGAGATGCAGCAGCGTTCGAGGAAGGCAAGTAATTGATTTTTAATTATTTTTCTCTGGTTCCCTGGGAACTTTTCTAACTGAAGCTTTTTTTTTTTTTTTTTTTTTTTTTTTTGCAGTGGCAATGTCCAATATGTCTGAAGAATTACTCCCTTGAGAGTATAATTATTGACCCTTACTTTAATCGCATTGCAAACATGGTAGTTTCCACAATTGATCTTTCACTTTATCTTATGTTGGGTTTATACTTATGGGTAATTTATGGTTTCTTACAGATGCAGTCTTGTGGTGAGGACACAACCGAGATTGAAGTGAAACCTGATGGCTCTTGGCGTGTTAAGAGTGATACTGAACGCAGGGATCTTAGGCATTGGCATTTGCCTGATGGAAGCCTCTGTCTTCCTGATGAAGTAGAAAGTAAGCAGAAGCCTGAAGCTTCAAAGCCAATTAAGCAAGAAGGTACCGGTTTGAAACTAGGAATCAGGAAGAACAGCAATGGAGTATGGGAAGTTAGTAAACATGGGGATACTAACACTCTTTCATCCGGTGATAGAGTGCTAGAAAATTTACCAAATGGTGGTCCAAAGATTATTCCAATGAGCAGTAGTGCCACTGTTAGTGGTAGAGATGGTGAAGATACAAGTGTTAATCAAGATGCAAATGGTACTTTTGATTTTTCTGTTAACAATGGACTGGAACTTGATTCTATTTCTTTGAATCTTGATCCTACTTATGGGTTGGCTACTCAAAATGCTGCGGCAGCTGCAAAGGACTCGGAAGTTATTGTGCTTAGTGATTCTGATGAAGAAAATGGTATGATGGTACATAGGGTTATTCACAACAATGGTCTGATGGATAATGGAGTCAATTATGGTGATCCACATACAGGATCATATCCAGAGGCCCCTGGTCTTGGGGTCGGTGGAAGTTCATGTCTTGATCTTTTCAACCCAGCAGATGATGAATTTGGGCTTCCTCTGTGGCCTTTGCCTGCCACTACTCAAGGAGCCTCCAGTTTCCAGCTATTTGGTTCAGATGGTGATGGACCAGATACATTATCTAATCCACATCTTACTTCTGTGAATTGCCCAACATCAATGAATGGCTATATGTTGCCTCCGGAGACTGCTATGAACCATGTGTCTTTCATGCCAGATTCTTCAGTCGGTCAAACATATAATGACCTAAATGATGGTTTAGTTGATAATCCCTTGGCATTTGGTGGAGAAGATCCAGCTCTTCAAATATTTCTTCCTACAAGGCCTTCTGATGCATGTGGGCCTACTGATGCAAGAAATCAACAAGATATGTCTAATGGTTTACGTGGTGAGGATTGGATCTCTCTTCGGCTTGGGGATGGTGGTGACAGATCTCATGATGAGTCAGGTGCTATGAATGGTTTACATACTGGACCGCAGCCTCATTCAAGAGAAGGAGCAACGGATTCACTGGCTGAAACTGGTTTGTTACTGTTTAACTCTCATCTGATGTTTTTGCTTCTGTTAGTTTGAAAAACTAAATTAAGTTCTGGTAAATTCTGGCCAGATGGATATTAGGAAGCTCTCATTCACACGTCCGCAAGGAATGCATATCGCATCCACTGTGACAGGTGTTTTGCATTTTAGTTTAGGAATGCACTTACATAACTCGTGTGCTTCCTTTATGGTACACCCCTAGTTAATGATGTTAAGTCAAAGAAGGAACTACACATGAAGTACGTTACCTCTGGACATGCCTGCCAGGCTAGAACTTTTAAATTTACAAAATTGCTACTCAGACTATGTTACTTGGACTCTTCCTTTTACCTCAAGTACCGTGTTGGACCCTTGACACTTAGATGTGACTTTGACCCATAATTTCGGTTCAACATAATTGCACGTTTTCACAAAATAACCAAGTCTGACATTTGTACACGTACCAGCGTGGGACATTGAGTACCAGAGTGTGAACAACAATAAACTGGGACATGGATCTTTTAGCAATAGTTATTTTCAAACTACACTTGGCCTATAGTATGCTCAATCATAAAATACAGGTGTGCCTTCATATACTATCGCAATTAGACTCACTAACCTGACTAGAATGACCCAGTCCATACCTGCAGTATACTCGAAACTTGATGAGCCAATATTGACCCTTTATATGTACATTAGATCCAAATTGATTCAAGCCTAACCCAAGTTGAAGAACTTGATTGCTGCCTCCGATTTTCACAATGAACTTTTATAAATTAATAGTTTTATGTGATTATCTTTAGGTCGTTGAACAACTAGCACATGATAACTTTGTCTTGTCCAGTGACATTTGTGAGTGTGGGGCAGTGGGTAGGCTGCGAAGATATGTCACATGCACTGGAAGTACTTTAGCTGAGTAGCATTAGCAGTTCGTCATTTTGTATTGTGTTTGAGCACTTACATGGGATGCTAGGTGGTTCAACCAGGTTTTTGATAGGTTCTTCCTGGGTTTCAACCCTTTCCAGTCTAGTGATTCTCTTTACTATACATGCACGTCTCTTGGTAGAACTGGTTATTTCAGTTTATAATATAAGAATTAATATGCATTTGTTTCTGTATATGCAGCTTCTTTTCTTTTGGGCTCCAGTGGCAGTAAATCTGACAAAACTCGAGAACGACCAGGCAGTCCTTTTTCGTTTCAACAATCAGATAGCCCTTCCCCGTTTCCTCAACACAAACGTTCTGTTAGACAGCGGTTGTACCTTTCTATTGATTCTGATTCTGAGTAAGTGTTTTAGTGGTTTTGCTAACCATAATGCTCCAGACTCAAGGTGGCTTGTGGGTCAATTATATAATATTATTGCCCTTCATGAAGCTAGCCTGTACATAAGAACTTGAAGTTGGCTTGCACTGACCCTTTTGGATGACAACTCAGAACGGGATGCCGAGTAGGGCAGAATGAGAATATCTGCATTTTCCGGAAAGATCAGTGCCTCTTCATTCTCGGTATTGCTTAGCTGGAATACCTCTTTTCGGCTTCGCATGTGGCTGGACGGTACATATCATTGCTAATTTTATTGTGGCACAGGGTTTGGAAGATAGTAGCACATACATTTTTATGAAGAAGCAAGTCTAGTCTAGTACATTTGGTTAGTGGTGATATTTAGATGTGAATTATTGAGCTCCAAAGCTATGTCCTTTGATCAGTAACATAGGGGATTTCCTCTCGTATCTGCGATCTGCAAATATACCAGCCTCCTATTTTTTGGTGGCTTAATAGCCTGTAAATGTTTTATGGGGTTGAGTTATTTATAGAAAAGGGACTTCTCCTCCCTTGCCCTAATCCCTTTCCCCTCCCAAAATGGTGTTCTATTGCACCATGCAGGATATTATTTATGCGTGGCCTTTTTTGCCCATCATTCTGCACTCGTTGTATCTGTAAGAGGCAATACCTATATCGGCTGTGCGGTGGATATGATCTCTTGTGAGCTCTTCCAAGTTTTACTATTCTAAGAACTAAACTATTAAAGCATTACGTAACTGGTATTCTAGGTGTTTTTGGGCATTTACAGTATTGAATGTTGGTAATGGGCTTATATTTTTGGTACCTCGTCTTTCTCGAAATGTTACAAACTAGTTTTTTAACATTTATATTAAAATTCTACCATATCCTATCCTATCAGTACGTTATTTTTTCAGAAGGAAAGGTATACAACCTAACGGCCTCCCTATCACTACTCACTAGACCAAAAGAAGATAATGGTTTTCCTATCTCAATCTAAGGAAAGAACCAAAAGCCAGAAGTACAAGGTAAAAAAACAATCCGATATGTATTAAAAATAACATAAGCGAGATCGAAGGAGACCTACCGAAGACCCTGAAACTTCAAGCGCAGCGTTAACTATTTAATGGCGAGGATTACGGATATCAATGAGGGCTAGGAAATTGGATCGAGTGTTGCTGCAAATTGACTACAACAAAGAAACTAGGAGATGAAGAGACTCCGACCCCTGACTACAAAGAAACTAGGAGATGAAGAGTAGAACCTCGTATGTATTAGATGTGAGGGTCAAGGGTAATAGTCAGTCAAAAGTAAGAAATTCTTGCTTAAGTTCATTCATATAAAATGAACAAGTTATAAGTATGTCATTTGAGAAATTATAAGTACTTTGGATCTAAATTACGGAGTAAATTTCACGGGGGAACAAAATGAAGAACAAACCCGGCCAAACTTCGATAAAGAAGTTGTCATACTTGAGGAGATGAATGAACGGTGATGGATCTAACTGGTGGTGACAGAGCTAAAAACAGAAACTCGCAACAAATAATAGACTGATATTTATGGTCAGAGTAATGTGTTAATAAACGTGTACAATTAATGTGAGAAGATCATTTTGAAACGGATAGAATATAATTGAAGGAAAGAACAAAACTATTAAATGCATGGCAAATATTCATCTTTCATTAGGAAACATTAGCCAATGATGTGATATAGAAATAGTAGTTAAATCTTGTTTTCTCTTTGATTGGTCATATGTTCAATTCCTAGAAACAACTAGGTTTATTTATAAATTGAAGAGTTGCTCAATCAACAAAAATGGGCATACAATAATTACTAAAGAAATTCTTAATTGTTAAAGCAAATGAACATTTAAAAAAAACCAAAAAAAAAAAAAAAAATCTTATGAAATTTACTAAGAAATGTGAAACATCAAACCATTAAAATAACAGAGAACTTTATAATTATATGGTGAATTGTCAAATTAGTGCTCCCAAGTGTGGCAGAATAATAATTAACAGAGACCTAGGTCGAATAATATTTGTAATAATTTTTCCATGCAAAGTAGCATCATGTCCCATGTATTTGAAAATATTAATATAACCATGAACAAAGAGACATTTTAGAGAATCAACTTATCTTCCCACTCCTTTCAAAAATCTACTTGTATAGTTGGACTGTCGGATATGCGAGAGAGATGTTGGTTGGGTAAGGTACTTATCCTTACCAAAAGAAGAAGAAATCAAGACAGAAAGTTTATAATATGTATCCGAAAACTAAGCTTAAAACAACAATTATTAAAAATGAACAAATGTTATTTAGCAACTATTTTGGGTAAAAATACCCAGGCCACATGGCCCAATCAGAGGGTGACACGTGTCATCTTAGGAGAGGTTCAACATGAACCAATTCCCAGCTGACACGTGGCACTCCGAATCAGCAGGGAAAAAGACGGTCTTCAGGGTCCAATTCTCGAGGAAGCCGTAAAAACAGCGCAACCCACCAAACCTAGGTCATTCTGACCTAGTTAAGGGCACATTTACTAACGACCCTATAAATAGGGAGATTTCCCCCATTTTAGGGACACGTTCAATTTACTACACAATCAATTCTCTCGAAAACAGAGAAAATATTTGATCTCGAAATCCGAGAAGATCTACTTTTACTTTCCTCACTTTTACATCACTCCGAATACTTTCTAACTTGATCGTCGGAGACGGAACTCCGAACACCCGGAGCTTCCGTTGTTTTGCAGGTACATCCGACCGGAAATCAGTCTTGGTGATGTAACTCTCCCGAGGGACAAAAAAACCCCGAAACATTTGGCGCAAGCTGTGGGGAGAGTGTCTTTAAGATGGTTTCTCAAGAGATTGTACCGCCTTTTGAGAATAAGCAGCCTACGGCTGAGGTTTATTCAGACCATGATACGGAACCAGAGGTCGAAACATATACGGCTGCAGATGGATCCCTCATTACAAGGCGCATCCGTTCTAAAGACAACAAGGAACGGGGCGATAGTCAGGCAGGTCCGAGCAAGTCATCCGGCCAGCCCCAGGCGGCAGGACAACCTGCTCACATCACCCGAGATGAGTTCATGAAATTCATGACAAGTTTCAAGGGAGAGATGAAGGACTTGATCTCCAAGAGGACGACTGGTCCTAGCAAGGGTCAGTCGGCCAAGAAGCCCTATCGCTTTGAGAAGGCTAAATCGATCAAGGATAGGGAGCCCACTCCGCACCCAAAGACAAAGGAGGAGACCCGACCTTTGATTGATTGGACCAAGTTTTGCCTACCCGAGTCGGGGAAGAGGAAGGCCATCCGACAAACACAGCCGGATGGCAACAAGAAGACTTACTCTGATGCTCGATTCTTCATTGAGCAGAAGAAAAACCAGCAACTTTCTGACTCGGCTACAACGTCGACGTTCCCAGACAGCTTCAAGAATACCTCGATGAGGTATTCTCAATCTGTTCAGGAGAGCCTGTCAGGAGGCCCGTCCGTCCATACAGGTCCTCAGATTATCGGCTCGGCCCCGTATGTGCCCCAGCAGCCATGCATATCGTATGCCCAGCCTTACATGCAACCTGCTCTCTTCGGGAGTCAGGCGACATATAATGTCTAGCCACTGGATTGGCAGCTCCATCTGCTGAAACTTGGGGAACAACCTTCTGTGTTCTCCAAGTAGATAACCAAGGCGGCACAGCTGGCCAAGGTTAAGAATGTTATGGTGGGTACTTACGATGGTACCACCAACCCAGAAGACCAATTGTTGGCATACACCCACCTCATGTATTTGCAGGTGCTGGATGACACTGCATGGTGCAAGTGTTTTTCAGCTACACTAAAGGGCATTACCCAGAAGTGGTTCGGCAGTTTGCCGGCTAGGTGCATCAACAACTTTAGGACGCTTGCGTTATTGTTTGCCTCAAACTTCTCCATGAACATACCCGGCAAAAAGACAAGCCTTGACTTAGGCGCAGTACAACATGGAGACAGGGAGGGGCTCCGCTCATACGTCAGGCAGTTCAATCTGGTGAGAATCCATATCCGGACTGTTTGACGATGTTGCTTACACAAACTTCTTCAAGGGTCTGAAAGACGGGTCGGCCTTCAAGTTCGACCTCGTCCGGAAGAGAATCTCCACTCTTCATGAAGCGCTAATGGAGGCGTAAGCCTATATACAGGCGACCGAGCTATGCTCCACCAGCAAGTAGTCGGAGTCAAAAAAGTTCGACAAACAAAAAGGGAGTTGGCAAGAATAGTCGGCTCACAAGGCTGAAGAGAGCAAGAAGAGAAAAGAAATCTGGGCGGTTGACGATTCTGATCAGCTGTCTTAGAAGAAAAAGAAAGAGTTTAAACCGTACGTCCCAAAGTATGAGTTTAACAAAGACTGCTACTCCCTCCTCATGGAGATTAAAGATCGGGTGACTATTGAGAAGCCCGCAGCTATGAAAGGTCCGGCCAAAAACCGGAATAAAGACAAGTACTGCCACTTTCATGAGGGTATTGGCCATGACACCAACGACTGCTTTAGCCTTAAGCAGTTTTTGGGATAGATTGGCTGATAAGGGGGTGTTGAAATCTTACATCCTCAAATCTAAGATGACTCTAAAGACGGACCCTAAGCAGCCGTAAAAAAAGCAAGCAAAGCCTGCTAGTAGTTCGGACACCGATAAGGAGTCGATCTACACCATAGCAGGCGGCTTTGCCGGAGGGGGCCCGACAATCAGGGGCACCAAGGACCATGTTAGATGGTTAGATGTCAGCTGCGTCGATGAGGGCCAGGTGTTTAATGACACATTCCCTAAGGTCATCATCACTGAAAAAGACCGAGGCAAAGTCCGCCAGCCGCATGATGACCCCATTGTCATTGAATGAAAGGTGGCTAACTAGAAGGTCGGCCGGATCCTCATTGATACCGACAGCTCGTATGACATTATCAGCTACAAGTGCCTGTCCAAGCTGAAGTACAGGCCCGACAGCATGCATAAGGTCACTCACCCCTTAGTTGGTTTTGGGGGTGGAGTTGTGCACCCAGTCGGCTGCATTGATCTACCCATCCTGCTGGGAGAGAAAGGAGAGGGGCGCCACATGATTGTCCAGTTCTTGGTTGTGGAAGAGCTGACCGCCTATAATCTGATTTCAGGGCCGTTCGACTCTGAACGAATCTAAGACCGTCATCATCCCATCCCTCATGCTGTTGACATTTGAGAAAGATGACGGTTCTGTTGGCTCCCTAAGCGTGGACCAAAAGACGGCTACAGAGTGCTACCTCTCAGACGTAAAGCCCACAGTGTCCGCAGCCGGCCAGGGTGAGGAGCCAATAGATCTTAGCGATGTCAAGGAGCAAGAGCCTGCTCCACCAGCAGTCGGTAAGAAAAGAAAGGCCGACCAGCTAGGGGCTATCAAAAAAGAAAAGCAGTAGCAATCACTGACCGGGGAGCGATCAGATGTCCACCGTCCCCAACTGGCTGGAGAACATGTGGACATCGTTTTGGATGACACACGTCCAGAGCGTACCGTAAAGGTTGGGACGGTTGCTTTTGCAAAACTGGGTGCAGACTTATACCATGTAATGAAAGAATTCAAGGACATTTTTGCCTTTGAAGTGGAAGAGATGCCAGGCATCACCCCGGTTCTCGCTGTCCACAAACTCGTCGTGGATCCAAAAAAGAAGCGTGTTAGGAAAAAGAAAAGAAATCACGGCGAGGAGAGGTCTCAGGTGGCGGCCGGCGAGGTCAAGAAGTTGTTAGACGCCGAG